TTTTTTAGTATATTACTTGTGTGGTGTAGAAGAGAATTATTTATGTAGAGATACTGCTTGCAAACCAATGATGGTAAGATGATGTCATGGGGTAGGACTGGATAAGTCTGACTTCTTCCTACTCCATTCAAGCATGTACTAGGTATAAGCAAATTGATATTGGATTAGAATTTGCTGGATATGTGTAAAATTATGTGTGTTGACATATCAACTGTCTTTACATGCTTGAAAGCACATGATTTATTAATCAAATCAAATTCTGCACTTTACTCCAGTTTGTAACATTACTGCTCAGGCTTTATATACATACATATCATGTAATTTGTCTCAGCCTTAGTGCTCAGACAAGGGGCCTTTTTGTCCTCCAAAAATGTATGAAATTGGCCAAATAGCCTTGCCCTTCAAATCATGCAATTTGGTTTTATGCTTTTTTAAAGTATCAGATCTGGTATTGTTTAGGCACCGGCACCATTTTATAATTACCGTATTTTCCGCACTATAAGGCGCACCTAATGATTGAATGTCGGACCATTGCCCGCTGACACAGGGACGTAATACGTACACTACGTACGCTGGCAGCGATAAACCAGTCTAAACTGGTCTAAGGACCCCCGAAAATGGCACCAGTGAAGAGACATGCTTACGAGGCACAATTCAAACTACAGGCTATCAGTTACGCGGTTGTAAATGGGAATAGAGCAGCTGCGAAAGAATTCAAAATCAATGAATCTATGGTTCGGAAGTGGATTTGTGGGAGAAGATTGATTAAAAAATAATGTGAGTGTATTGTTAAATAGTAGAATAAAGTTCAACTAAACTCACTGTTTTGCTTCTGTTACGTTTTAGCATGCGCATTATAATACGGTGCGCCTTATGTATGGGTTAAGTACAGAAATAGACCCCGTAATTGAGACTGCGCCTTATAATTCGGTGCACCTTATGGTGCAGAAAATACGGTATCCTTTTAGCACTTGTATCAGAAAAAACCCAAACGATACCCAGCTGTACTGTGAACTCATTGAAACAAGAAAAGCATGTAAATAAATTTACAACTGCACACACCTCTTTAAAGGCATCCAGGAGGTCTCCTGCCTCCTTTTTGTTCAGATCCTTCATCTTCCTCTTTTTCTTTGGCACAGACACAGCAGCTACAAAAACAAGACAAAAAATAATAAAACAAAAGACTAAAATTGTACTGAACCTAACATGCACTGTTGCCAAAATTAAAAGAGAAACCAAATCAAATGTAGGTACCAAAATTAACAATGGTGACCGACCTTGCATAGTAGTTTCTACAAGGGCAAGGGCAACTGTCTGGGGAGAAGGGGTGTCCTCCCTCTTGTCTGCTGCAGGAGTGGGAGGAGTGGGCAATAACTCTGTGGTGCTGTCAGCTATAGAAACTGTCTCTGCAGGTGATGGCATCTCTTCCTTGGCAGTGGACTGGGGCACTAGGGTATCTTCCTTGACATCCAGGGTGACTGGAGGAATCATGTCTTGTACTTCAGGCTGGGTGGTTCCTGTCTCAATGACCAGTTCAGCACCAGTCTCTTCAACAGAGGATGCAGGTGCAGGCTGGTCAACAGGTGCAGGTGTGGCTTGGACAACCGGTGCAGGCGCTGCCTGTGTGATAGCTGTGGAGGTCTGTATGACAGACTGAGATTCGTCGGGCTCAGCAATGGGGCTGTCGTCACACTCAGCTGTGCTGGCGGCAGGGGCTTCAGGGTCTTGGGGAGCTGGCAGTGGCAGGCCATTGAGAAGCTCCTCGGGCTGTGCAATGGGAGACTCCAGCAGGTCCTCCAGTTGACCGGCCGGCAAGATGACTGACAAGCTTTCCAAGTCCACCTCCGTCACACCATTAGAGGTGGAGGTAGAAGCAACAGGTGTATCCAAAGAGGCATCTGCCTCTTCTGCTTTAATCTCCATCACTGTCTGCAACTCCTCTTTTGCCTCTGCAGCTTTCTTTTCTATACTGTCCTGTGCAGCAGAGGTGGGGACAGGGTCAGGGAAGGGTGCAGGGTAGGCAGGCACCTCAGGAGCTAGTTGAGGGAGTGGAGTGGGTTCTCTTGGAGGTGAGGGAGCATCCATCACGTCTGCAACAGGGACACTTGGTGCAACGGAGAAAATAGTGTTGTGAGGGGTGTCCTCTGCTTCTGATAGAGGGGGCTTAGTGTTTGTGTCAGAGGAGGTAGACTCTGTGGGGCTGGGATCACCCTTGGCAAGTTCAGGGGACTTTGACAAAGGAAGAGGTGTAGGTTTCCCTCTGTCATCTAGAAGGTCAAAAGGGAGAAAAATGTCAAGACTGCTGACAATGTGTCCCCAACAATTTTGGTTCTGTACAGGTAGCTATATAGCAATTTAAAAAGGGGAAAAAACAAGTAATAATAATAATAATGGCAGCTAAATATGAAGACAATCAAAAAGATAAATAGTTCTGCTTCTGTTTTATATTTTACGCATCATGTTTATCAGATTAGTCGGTACAGCCCGAGAAGCTACACTGACTGTGTGTTCAAGGCTCAAGGTACATGTAGCACTCACCTGGTCTAACCAGCACTGGTGTAGCAGCAGCTGTGACACTCTCACCGTTGGCCTGGGCCAGTGATGTGCTTTTTGATCCAGATATGGCTGTCTGTTGGGAGATGTACACAATGAATATGTGGCATGACCTATGTAGTGAGGACGACACTATTTTTTTCCACTTGACGAGGGGTGGGAAAAAACTGGTTTCATGTTAGTCCCAAGCTGGCTATATGAGCTGTGACACATATAGTACTCTAAAAAGCAAACCACAGAGGAGTTTGATTTTGACAGGTTGTAGGGTAAGACATGCATGAGGGCTGGCAATCTACAGCATTCCCTATAAGTAATAACTTATGGACAGCACAGGTGAGTAAATTCTTGTTTTAAGCATATTTTAAGCAGATCAAGAGAACACACAAAAGAAGAAAAGAAATATAAAGACTATATATGTTTGATTATGGACCACAAAAAGGATAGTTGTTGCCAGGTAATATATGTGAAGTAGCTGTCAGTCATAATGTCTATGGTAAGCAACTAGAAATCCAAATAAACACTAAGCAATAAACTTGATGCTGACGTGCACAAAAAGCATCTTGTTGAACTGCACTACCCCAAGTTAACTGTATCTGTTTTCTGTAAAATGAATCTATGAGTATTAGTAAATCAATAACACTCACTGCAAACTCATCTGCAAGCATTTGTCAGTAATTTCACTTAACTTCAATTTTATAATATGCCTGACAGAACTGTGTCTAAAAACAAAACAAAGCATATAACAGTGTGCTAAAACGTTCAGTGTATCGATTGTGTTTGGCTGGGATCATGGTACTGTAGCTCACCTGTGGTGGGGTTGGGGTAGAGCCACTGCGGCCCCCTGACATAATCTCTTCTGTAATGTCTCGACCCCCTTGGTTAGGATCTCTTATTATGATCTATGGTGGCAAGTAAGCAGAAAAGCTGTGAGTGCAAAAACAACTGGGTGGAACAAGAAATGAGAGAAAGGGGAGTGGGGAGGTAATAAATCAGCTGGGGAGCAAAAGCACTTGAGAAAGAAAACTGGTTGTTTTCCTGCTTCAAATGAAGAAGAGCAAAGAGAAAAAAGGAGAACATTTTCAGGGTGAGGAGACTAACGTAAAATGAAAGCTACAACTTCAATAATGCAAAGCCCTCGGTCACCAGCACCCTTGCTTTCGCTGTGACTTGCTAGCTGCCTCTTGGTCAATGAAAGCTACATTTCTCACATTCTGAACACTGAGGCACACCAAACCCAAACACTAACCACCATGTAAATTCCTCTGCTGCACAAATGAACATGCTCCAGGCTCTTAGTCACCAGTAATGCTGTTCAACTGAGTGAGAATGAGGTTAACCAACTTGAAACTGTTAAACACCACTACTACTGATCAAAGTTGTGAAAATGACAGACATTCACAAAGACACTGAAAAATCGGGCTTGACATACAAAGGCTTTCCTGTGTACACACAAAACAACACTCAGACAAAGCTGTGTGCAAAACTGATCACTCACAAGGAGTGCTCATATATTACAGACACGTGTTTTCCATTTGCAAACCTCTTTCTCTCACTCACACTAGACATACTTTTGGACGCCAGAACCGTCGTAAACTGGTATGACACAGGGCGCTTCTAATTAAAGTGACGCACAGCCACTGGACTGGCCTGCAAAAGTTAAAAGTGAGCTTACAGAACAATATTACTGCTACTGACCTTTACGTGGTTCACTGTGTCAGCGACTCCTCTCCTGGAGCATTACAAAGCCTAGCAGGCCTCTCATCCTGGAGCTGGAGTAGCTGTTCCAGCAGCCTTGGGGCTGGACTTTAAACCCCACAAAGTAGAATGGTGGGTGGATGTAGCCAGCGTAGTTTTACCTCAAGTGAACTCACACACGTACAGGGTGATCTACGCGCCAGCAGAGCAGGGCTGGGCCTGACTGTGAGTAAGCTAGATAGCAACTTGACTCACTCTCTCCCTCTCTCATACACTGAACAGAACAGGGAGGGAAAAAAGGATAAAGCAACTGGCCTTGTAAAGCTATGAAAGTGGAATGTGCACCCCCGCCCACAGAGACTAACAGACAGTTAAAGGGGCCAGAGAGTGAAGGAGGGGTAGGCTGGGGGGAATAGGAGAGTTTCCAGGAAAAGAAAACTTATCATTATCAGATGAGTTGCAGCTAGCACAAGAAACTCTCCCTGTTCCTCATTTTGTCTCTGCTCTGCCATCCTGTACACTCAAGCAGCTGTTCAGACTTTTTTCAGGCTCACTCCTTTTGAGAGCAGAGGAGACAAGTAAAGGAGGATGAGGCAGAGAAGGAGAAGGGGGTGCCATAACAGCACAGGAAAGCTGGTTGGTTAGCCCTTCCGGTTCAGGAGGGGGAGGAGACCAGTGGCCACGTGGAGCTAAGCTATGTACTGACACGTCCTTTACCCCTTCCCCTATGGATTTTCTCTTTGAAACAGCCACAGGGTGAGCAAGAGAGTAGGAAAGGAGGAAAAATTAGGCAATTTGCATGGTTACAGATATTGCATGTCACAAGGTGCAAAAGGGATTTATTTAATGGGTAGATGTGGATGATCATTTGGATAATCATTTTAAAATCCACAATGTTCACACACTTATTCACTTCCACAACTTGTATGCAACTAAATAAAGGTGTTGCACCTTTGTATACCAAAAAAGCCTTGCACTGCTACATACAAACAGTCCCTGTAAATGGAAGATAACACTCTGCACTAGGGCCTTGTTTCTATTAACATTGTCTTTACAATACAATCTCTGCTCTCTCATAAGTGCATCACTCCAAACAACCAAGCTAGTAGTAGTTTTATGGCTGAAGCCCAAACATCTTTCCCTCGAACAGATTTGTGTTGCTGTTCTTCACATCTGTCATCTTGAGTTTAATTTGAGAGCTTTACATTTTGCGAGGATGTGTGTGACATGCACAGGCCTAGAACCACTGCTGTAGCACAGCTGGGGCCAACAGAAACAGGCCAAAGTCCACCTAAGATGACCACAGTCACTGATAAGCAGCCAAATTTTCCAGCAAAAGGGACCAAGACATCATGCAACCCTTGCAGCAAAAGCCCCAGAAATGAAAACTGGCAGCCTTTTTATGGTAATACATTCAGAGATTCACACTATACTAAGCTTTAATAAATAAAGCATTCTACATAGAAATAAAGACTACAATTAATGTCATCATATTTCTTTCAGCAGTTTAATTAAGACTGATCAGATGAAGACAAACATCTTTTAGCCTCTGAAGTAAAACAAACTTCAGGCCAAAAATGAACCATAACTCCACACAAACTATGCCAAAAGCTCCAAACTAGCCAAAAACCAGTTTTAAGACACTGACAGAGCTGATGAATTGAGCAATGAAGGAAAACCCCATGCAAATACACTATTCAATTACCATTAACAATGACTGGAAGAATAATCTTTCAATAAGAAAGCTGCCATATTATAGTATTTGACAGCATAGACACCTGTTACCTATAATGGGTTTTGAAAAGCTGCGGTATTACATCATTTTAAAAAGAAAATCTGAACATATATCCATGTTAATTTTATTAGTGCTTTTGCATGGTCACATGATCATGCAAGTTGCAGCAAACATAAGGCTGTTACATTATCACAAAATACAGTATATATTATGGGCAAACTCATTATTTCAATTCGATTTTGGTGTCATAATTGAATTCAGAATTGACTCTTGGTTGAAAATGATTCAAAGTAATATAAAGAAAGAAGGTCACAATACTTTGGCTCTTACTCAGCACACAGTCTCAAGCCACTGATTCTTGTTCACCGAGTTGCAAATGAAATACAACAGTTAAGCTAACTGGTTTTGATGAGGGTCATTAGCCCCTTTTACACAGAGATCACAGAAAACTACCAGCATTTTGACCCTCCTTCCATGACAACTGTACAGGGGGCGCATTTTTATATAACAACTTGCCCGTTTAAGTTATTTTGAGACTAATATTTATGAATAATTAAAGGCAGGGCTACTTTAAGTGATAGGCAGGAGGGTCCCGCTATAGGTTCTGTCTAGCTAACTCCAGCTACTAGCAGTAGCAGGCGGCGTAAAGCACTGCCAATATGGCAAAAGCCAAACTGGAGCTTCAAAACTGTTCTTCAGAAAACCAAATCATGACATCATGGTGGGTTTGTCCATCTTTTATATACAGTCAGTGGTAAAAATGAAGTATGTTCTTTGTCCCACCAGAGTTGACTGAAGTTCTGTAAAGTGCTGTAGTGTGTGTTGCTGAGCTGCTCTCATTAGTTAATGCCCGAGTGCAGTGTTCTGCTTTGCTGAAGTTAGTCTGCTGGTGATGGGCTAATGTTACGAATTACACCCACATACCTCCACCCTCATCTTTCAATGCTCATTGGCAAGAATTTAAAATGCATTTGAATTATTTTCTTGTGTGAAGATGAATTGATATTACAAGACAACTGCACAGTGCATGCTGTGCGCTGTCAGTGCGCTGCACCATGACATCACGAACTCTGCCTTTTTTGTTACATTTAAATTACAAAAATAAATTTTTTACATTTGAGGATAGTAGAAAATATGAATCACAATTCTCATATGAATCTTTTCAGCCCGGGCTAGTATATACCAACAATCAAAGCTTTGTCTATGATTCAAGAGCCAAAGGCATTACACTTTGTTTTTGATTTGCAAGATATACTGTACTGATATCTACGTAGACGAGTCTAAAAAATTTTAGAGGAACCTTGAGTTTATCTCACAGTAGCTGTTTGTTCCTGACATTTTCTCATGAGGACACATATGATGTATTCAGATAACCTGATAAACAGCTGCTGTCCAAATTGGGCCGATAACTTTTTCCATTTTAGGTAAACTGTGCTTTTAAGTCAGTTACTTTCCTATTAACAGTTCCACCATGTTTATCAATATAAAAAGCCTATGTTCACTAATGATTCATTCTACTAATAAAATGTTATGTCCTGGAATCATGAGGAGCTCAAGTCCAATGTGTGGAAATAAGGTGCAACATGCTTCATGTTGTGGAATACTGACTGTACCTGTTTGCGTTCCCGTTTGGTGGGGATGTGTTGGGGAGGCTGAGGTGGTGGTTGCTGCTGTTGGGGGGCAGGGTTCATAATGACAGGCGGCGCCTGCACTGAAGGGGTGAACTGAGCCTGGGCGGGGTAGTAGGCCCCTGCTGTGGATCAGATAGAGGGAAAAACGTAAAGCAACACATACTGACTTTATCCTGTAGCTATCACAAGGCACAAGCACTGTCTGATGCAAACAGACACACAGGATGCACACGCAGCACATACAAAAGCTGTGTTTACACAATAAAATACCAATATTCAAAGTCATGTTAGGTTAATTTGACACAGAAAAGCCAGATCAAAAATGAGGTCTGATTTTCAGCACAACGGCTGTAGTTTCAACTGCAAAGTTATTTTATTACAATGATGTATTTGCACTTTAAAATTAAAGTTTTCTCACTGCCAGCTGAGGATGAGCCAGGATCCATTTTATAAACATTTTAGGCATTTATCTGATGCTGCGTGTAAACTCACTTGAATTGCTATAATTCCTCGATTACAAAATGAACCAAGCCTAGGTCTGAGTCCTGACAATACTCATGTGAACATTAGAGACAGCTTGAGAGAGAGAGAGCTTTGAAAATTCAAATTTTAAAAATCTCTATCACTGCAGCATTACAGGGTTCGTATCACAACTCTTTGCCAAAAATAACCAGCAATATCAAGATATGAAGTTAAGATTAATGGGTGAACAAACAAATAAATGACTAAGAGTGAGACAAAGATATCAGATATAGCCTGAATTTTTCCACTTGCTTCATTTGAACAAATTTGACCACTTGATAAAGAACAATTACTTCCTTTACTAACCTGCAGACTTTGTTATTTTGTCTATAAAATTCTTGTTCTATTTTACCAATAGCCAATCATCAAATCCTCATAATACAGGACCCAGAAATTGGATGAAACAACTAATGATTAAAATAGTAACAGATTTATTTTCTGACTACTGATAAATTGTTTCAGATCTATGCTGCAGCCCATGTTTATATGAGGTCTGAGTAACAGGTTGTAAAAATGTTTCTAAAAACACCTAAAATTGCAACAGCTTCATTTTCATTAGGCCCCCTTCTTATTGCTTGTTTAAATATTTAAATAGCACTGCAGTAACGTAATAAATCTTAAGCTGCAAGTATTACCTTGTTTTCAATTATTAGATCCAGACCCAAGTAGAAATGCCCTTGAATACATATCACTGCCTCAAATCTGCATTATTCTTTATATGCTTTTGTGCCATCTTAAAATCTTCCTTCATGTTATATCTGAATGAACTATTTAACAGAAGCAGACATGGCGCCTGGAAGGCCCAACAGGTAGGCCTTCAGCCCATGACACAGCAGTCTCCCCCTTTGCTCAGCCTGGCACTGGTATCTCTTATTTCTTAGGGCCATGGAAATTTATTATTCACAATTAATCAAGACAGCTGCTCACAACATGACCGCAGAAAAAAAAGTTTACACAAGCTCAGAGAACTCCCATAAGCCTACTGGTCAATAACTTGACAGTCAACCATTCACTGACATTACCTGGCCTTGTAACTGGCCTCCGCTACAGTTCAGAGCCAGTTTTAGCCCACTCTCAAAGGACAAGGGTTAAAAAAAAAAAAATCCTTGGATTGAAGAGGTTCTCTTTCAGCCCAGCGGTAGCTAGCTCCTGCTCTGCCTCTCAGTCCCTGTGCCTCTGCATGCATTTCAGTCTAACTCACATTACTGAGTCTGCATTGTTGATCAGGAGCAGTACAGCCTAAATATAGTCAAAAACCCACACCGGCTGGCGGAGAGAGTGAACAAGAGGGAAAGGGAGGGAAGATGGACAGAGGAGAGAAGGAGAGAGAGAGAGGGAGTAGAAGAGCATGCTGGAAACCAGAAGGTAGAGTGAGACTTTTCTTGGACAGCGTCCCAATACTGTAAATAATAGGCTTGAGATATGACTAACAAAGAGCCGGAGATTAAGACAGCAATGGCAGAGGGAGCTGGAAAGAGACGCACTGTTTAGACAACACCTACCCTCAGTGTCTTGCTGCTCTTGAGACCCACGATTGCCCATACTGAATGCAAAACCGCGTATGGACAGAAGAAGAAAAGGGGGTTTCTCTTCAAACCCCCTCTCAGACGACTTCTTGTCCTCTCTACAAGTACCCTGTCAGAATGACTTCTTTTAATGCTCAGCCCCCCTCTTCCAGCATATCCATTTTGCTCCTCCCTCTGACCTTCCTGAATCCTCCCTGCCTTTCACTTTTTTCACCCCACCCCCCTCCAGAGTGTACTGGCTGGCAAACTAAACAGTTCAGTTGTGTCGCCAAGAGTGACTGAAGACTTCTCTCTCTCTCTCTCTCTCCACCCTGGATAAGTGATCTGATCCATGCTGGTAAGGACTCTATAGCAATTACAAAGAGGGTGGGCTATGTGTATGTATGTGGGATGAGTTGGGGGGTGGCAGTCAACAGTTCTGTATGCATTTTCACCTGGCTGCTAGAAAAGGACTCAGTGGTCAGAGAGGCTACAAAAAAAATGATATTCTGCGATTGTTACTTTGCAGTTACCAGAACTTTGAGCAATGCTGGTTATAAATACAAAAGCCTCCTAATTTCCAGATACATAGTGTTTGTGTACTACTTTCTTGCCTCTGTCCATGCAAATTCTCAATCATCCAGGTCGTAGTATGCTGAAAGTATGCTTCTGAACACCGCACATAGTGGTCCAGCACATCAGAGACCAGAGTTTGAGCGTCTCATCATCACACGAGCAGTTATTTAGGGTCATATGCCAACTTGAAGTCACGACATGCGACTTGCAAAATGACTGTCACACACAACCTCCAATACAAACAAATTATCCTGTACAGTTATACAAATAAGCAACATACACAGCCATATAGCTCTCTCTTACCAGCAGTAGTCAGTTGTTATGAAGAGAATAACATATCTTGACAACTGAAAACAACTAAATTAGCACAGAGGTCTATTTATTCCTCAAAGTATTTTCAATATGTTGTCACTACCAGCCCACTTCCAAATGCTTTGAGGATCCACACATCATGTTTTGGGTCAAATCTAACATAAAAACACACTGCTAAGCTGAGACTGCCAGCCACACATAGCACAAGCCCCTTACTTATTTAAAACGCTTTACCAACAAGTCAAGGCTCGATTTATTACACCGAGCTTGATGCCATACTTACTACATTACCTGTTCATTACAGACAGAAAAAGTTGAACATAAACCAGTTACACCCTTGTGCGCACATCTACGGTTGTTGCTTGCAGCATTTTACTATTGTCACAGTTATTTTAAAAATTTGAACACAGGTCTGACTATGCAAAACAACACTAAGTCTGTGAACTAATTATAGATTAATAAAACACCACAATTGTATTGCTTAGTGAACATATTGTGCAAATACCACACACATATTATATAGTGAAGTGAAAAGCTCATGACACAAACAGCCTAACAAGAATCAATGCATTTTTAGAGTCCTGTATTCAGGCCTGCTCATTCATTGCTGATGAGCTACACTTTGAACAAAGACAACACATACTATAGTTCACACACCTGCTGGTGGAGGGTCAGCAAGTTTGTTTTAGGGATTTAGTTTTTGTGATGTAATGACACTCAGCCACCTCTAGAGGGCATAGCAACACATGAGATCCATAAACATGCTGTAGTGCAACTGTATTCAACGGGAGAGGTGACATATCTCCTGTTCATGACAACAGAGTATGACTGGAATAAATAAAGTTTAAAAAGATGGGTATGAACTAAATCTGTGATAGCTAGATTCTTTGAGTGTATGATAGAAACATATGCTCACACTTAAATACATCAATTTGTAATCATCAAAACACAATGTATTTATGCTGACATAACCTCTATCATTGTCCAGAATGCAGCCACACCCATCACTGACAATACAGCACGTCTCATGCAGTTGATTAAGGTCATGCGTAAGTTGTTTGATCTCTGTTGGTTTCTCCCTGTGAGGTTGCTGAATGCAATTGCACAACAGACAAGGAAAAAAAAAAAAAAAAAAAAAAAGGGGCAGAACAGCTGTGTGCGCACAATATGCAGATTCTCAGCAGGTACAGTGAGTTTAACTCCCCTCTCTAAACCCTAAACCAGATGGTCTATTATCATGTGAACCAGGGGTGTCATATACACTGAGTAGACATCTGGGATTGACTTGAGATGAAGATAACAATAAATAAATGCAATATCCTAAGTCTGTGGTTTATTAAAGGAAGACCTGTACTTTTCTGTAAATAATGACATGAAGACAAATATAAAACAAACAGGAAGGCTCCCAAACAAATCCTTAGGTATAGGCCAAAACCGGGCAGCAGATGATCAAAGCCCAGATGTCCCAAGCAACTGGGAATGTCACAAGTAACTGGGAATGTCACAAGCAACTGAAAAAATGAGAGCTACAGAAAAAAAAACTTGATAAAATCATAATAAACTACCTAGGTTATGATGATTTACATTAGATTAACTTTGATAACTTGCTATGCTATCTTCCCTCTGCTGAATTTGTTGAACAAATATTCTGTTGAACATTTCCCTTATATTACATTAAAGAGAGTTAGGCTATATATTTCTTGTTAAGAACAAGTTTCTTATTTGTTTTGCTCTCTGATTAAGTTTGGAAGTTCTTGGTCAGGTATTTGCTTCTGTGTGAGTGGCTCAGGTGAGGCCCCAGGTAGAGCCTCTTACCATAAGTACCATATTCAGCGGGGCTGGTGCCTGGGTAGAAGCCTGGCGTGCCTGCTGTGACTGGGTATTGCTGGGGTGTGGCCACATAAGGTGCTGATCGGTACTAAAACAAATAGAAGGGAACATGGAAAGTAAGACAGGAGAGACAAAGAATCATTAGACACCATCATAAAAGATATAAAAATGAGTGCAAAATAGACCTGCATAACAACATCCTTTCCCTTCTCTTCACTATAAATAGCTTCATGCAATTTGAGTACTTCATTACAAGGTATGGATACACATTTGATAGAATTAATTCCAACAAGAGGAAGAAAATAAGACATGTTCTGTTTTTATCATTTTGGAATTTGGTTTTACAGTTCTAACAAGTACACAGCATGGTAAATTGTCCATGCTGTGTATTGCTGACGAGCCATGTTGGCTCAATTATTTATGCCATCTGGTTTGAACATAAAATCCGGTAGTGCCACTTCGTGGAAATACCCCAGTTTGTGACCCCTACCTGCCCAGATATAAAGTAGGTGGGTCCCTGTGGCGAGCTGGGGAAGGGCAACTGTTGCCCAGGGATCATCATCATTTGGGAGCCAGGACCTGTCTGGTAAACGTGGGTGGGCGTCACAGGGCGAGGAGCGCTGCTGGGAGGGACACCCCGAGGCCCGCTGCTTGGAGGCAGGCTGGCTCTGTTGGTGTAGTAGGGCTAGAGAGGAGGTAGGAGGGTAAATCAAGTAGGAGCAGGACGGTGGTGACACAGCAAAGGTGAGAAGGAACAATGATTGGGAGGACAAAGAAAAAGACAAGAGAGAGAAGACAGGAAAGCATGGGAAGATGGATGGGATGGAAAAAGGAGTACAAGAGAAAGAGACATGGGACTTATTAGTTACCATTAGTTAACATTATTAGTCCCCCTCCCCACAGACCAAGTGGAGTAAGCTTGTGCAGACTCCAGTTGGAAACATATCGGTCGTGCCTGACTGAAGAAATAAAGTGGCTGACGCTAGCTCATTCAGAGCCTCCTCATTGACATTCTGCTGCTGGCCTGGGAGCTAACCGCCATAGCAACCAAAAGACACCAAGCTAACAAAGCGCAACACTGAAATATTAAGACACACATATGCACTTCTCAAGAGGGTGAGAAAAAAAAAGAGAGGGAAAACCTGAAGAAAGAGGAAATTGAGTTACCTGTAGTGACCTGAAGCTTCCCTTCAGCAGCAGCACAAACACAGATCATACACAGAGAAACATCAAATGGAAGCAACAAGAGGGTGGGAAGAGAAGGGTTGAAAAACAGAGAGCACCACAATCAGTTAGAGCGATGTGCCTGGGAACACTCTGTTCTGAGCCAAGCAGTGAATCAACAAGCAGCATGCAGTGAACAGGCAGAACAGTGACTCCCAACAAACTAGGTCTAGCTACCACATGAATAAGAAGCAGACTAAAAGTCAGCAGTCATAACTGAAAGATGGGCATTATTCACCTAAATGTGAGCCCGTTTCTATGTGTGGATGTTTTTATATCAAACCAATCACTTTCTCATAACATCTTAATGGAGGCTGGTGAAACACCTGTTTTCAGGTTTACCTTTACATAGGACACTCGCACACTCATATTTCTATTTATCTGATTTTAATACTTCCGGGTGTGAATGTCCCAGGACGTTCCAAGTCTCATATCGGCTCAGAGGAGCGAAGCTGCTGGAGGAGCCATGACCGAATACACACAAGACCATCCTTTGCAGAGGGTTTTTGTGAATAGAGATGCCCCTTTAGCAGAAATCAGGTGGTGACTGGACGCTTCAAGATGAAGGACGTCTCAGGTTGCTAATAACATGTTTACTCGAGTCCTCTCTCCCCAAGTTTACCTTGCATCTTATGTGGTCGGGACTAAGACAAGGAAGAGATGCAAAGGAAACAACTGCACTTATAAGAGACTTGGTATGTACCCTCTGTCTCAGAGCCCCCAGATGTCCACACAGGACCTAGTCCTTTAGTCCAAGCACAGCGTGGAACCTTTCAATTTTCTTCAATGCTTCTAAAGTGTGTTACAAAACAGGAAACGCAACCAGCCATCCCCTCTCATGTTAGTTGTGCTGTTAGTACCTGTTGGTGTATTGGCCGGGGCGCTGGGGCAAACTAAAGGAGGAGAGGCAGACAGACAGAGGTTAAAGATGAAGGCACACAGTCCATGCTTCACTCCCCACTACCAGGCCCCTTTCAGTTCTGCACCTTCACAACTGCAGTTAAAGGCCATGTCAGGCAGAAAACAGTGGAAAGCTGCTTTCTGACAGTCATACAATAAGAGTCTGCCCACTTTCTGTACTAACTACTTTCTCTTGGTTTGTTTTTTCAAACTGGCATTTGCTCATCCAATTTATTAACATATAATATGTTAACTCTTATTTTAAGTACAGCAAAAAAAAAAAAAAACATTTAACCTGATCAATACAAAAAACAACAAGACAGCTTGCAACTTATTTTTTTTGGTCAATCTCTAATAATTCACAACAAATGCAGTTAGATCTGCTTGGACTCATTCAGCAGTCACTAAGGAGTAAAACACTTTAGCTAAATTGTGTAGATAAGGGCAGTGTGTTTTATGGCATGCATGGCATGCTGTACACTGGGATACTTTGTGTGGCAGAGTACAAAGGACAGGCTGACACACTGACAGTTAAAAATGGTGCAGAACTGGTGAGAAGTAGGCAGACAGACATGCAAGCATTCAAAGAATTTCACAGATGGACTCAGGAGACTTTGCACCGTTTTCCACCGGGAAGATTTCAGATAGTGACACTGAGCAGCATTTATAGCAAACTTGCAGAAAAGAAAAGAAAATCTCCAGGTTTTTTTCTCCAGGAAGAAAAAAAAAACGTTGACTCTCTATTCCAACTTTTCATCCTGACTGCTTTGTCACTCCTCAAACAAAAGTGAGATTTGGGAATTAAAACAAATATATTTACAAAGCACCACAGAACTTAATTCAGTAACTTGAGTGGAAGAGGATGAATCTCTACACCAGAAAAGTGCAGTTCAGCTGACCATTCCTAAATACTTGAGAACTACTGTCTCAGATATGCGAAGGAAGAAGTTAAGTTTCTCCTGAAATGCAGCCACTGTATGTGTGCTGTGGAGTTGGTGAGCAGTGGGCAGGCCTACCTGTCGGGACTGTGGTGTTGGGTTCATTTGTGGAGGCGTTGGGGTGGCAAACACAACAGAAGGGGGCTGCCCAGGGGGAAATGAGGGCTGCAAGAGATAGGAAGTCATATCGGCAGCAGAGGAGTGGAACGCAGAAGAAAAAGGGGAGTGAGTGGGATGAACAGTAGAAAAGAAATGTGCACAGGTACTGAGGCTGATAGTTGCATTTAGGTGAATCTGCTTTTATCACAATACCACCAACATTTCATGTTTAGGTTATTGGGGAGCAAGCAAAGGGCACAGAAGGCGGGGGGGACTTTCTGAATGTGATTATAATCTTATTGTAAAAGAGACCATGGGGTGTCAACCAAATGATTTTGTGAACCTGATTAAAATGAAGATGTTGCATGCCCCAGTGAAAGCTGATGATTTCTGACAATTACTATGGAGTACGATGACTGTGTTGTAGGGAGGGTTGCAACGGTATGAAATTTTCATGGTATAACCGTTTCAGAAAATATCACGTTGTGACAGTATTACACAATTAGACTACGTTCACACTGCTGGCCGAAGTGGCCCACATCCGATCTTTTTGCCCAAATGTGACCCATATCCGATTTCCTTATGACAGTGTGAACAGCACAACTCCGATTTTTTCAAATCAGGCCCAGGCCACTTCCATATGTGGTCCTAAATCAGATACATATCCGATGTTTTGCAACGCGACTTCAGTCTGAACGGCCATGTCGTATTTCATGCGATTTTTATGTCATTGAAATGTGACAGACGTCACAATTCTGCACTGCTGGAGGCAAGGGGGTAATCACAATGGCAGACAACGGTGATTCAGGTGGTCAGTGGAAAGATGGTGATCCATTCAAACGTTTCCCTTCTCACTTGGAAATTATTAATGAATTCTGTGTCCGTGAAGCCCCTCACGGAATCCCACCAGTCCTGGCTCCGACTCCGCACCCACACATTCCTCTGTACAGAGGTAGCAGCCATTGCTCCACAAAGGGACATAAGCAATATTTGTGCGCTCCTTCTTCTTGATATTCTTATTATTTCTTTATTTGCACATTAACTGGTACATCGCTACGCACATGCTATCACGAGCCGCATCCATTTTTATTTTCGCCAACACAGTACGCTGCGTCTGACGTCACATCCTCTTCTGCGCATGCGGGTCACCTCAGGGCCGTATACCGTTCACACGAGACAGATGGCAGTCGCATTTAAATGACAGTGTGAACAACAGCACAAAAAAAAAAAAATCGGATTTCGGCAAAAAATCCGATCTGAGCATTAAGACCTGCAGTGTGAACGTAGTCTTAGTACTATCAGGTACAACAACCCTCAAAGGAACGAAAAAAAGGTCTTTTTTGTGCATCAATTTTCACACCATGGTACACAGTGAAACCAGGATAACACTGCAACCCTAGTTGTAGGACTTAGATACACAGCTGAGAGTTGTACCGAAGTACGGCTTGTGTCTGCTGCAGCCTGTCTCCACCAGAGAAAGTGCATCATTGTGCGATTTGCTTGTCATTATGAGCACAGAAATGCTGCCCTTTTACTTCTATGAAAAACAAAAGCTGAAGTTGGCCCTTAAAGAATGTATACAGAAAGTAAAGTTATGGAGTTCTGCATGGGGAGGCGGATGTGGACCTGTGTACAAATCTGTAGAAAGAGAGAATGGGGAAGTTAAATGGGTCGTAAGTTATAAAAATTACCGGCCATTTCAGATGTTATTGTCACTCTCAGTACACTGTGGTGACACCTAATGGACAACAAGGTAATACAATGTGTAGCACAAAGGACAGACTGGAATGTGGGACATATTTTTCTTAAAGAAAGTGCAGGCTGAGGGTTGACGGCATAAAGTCATTGAAAATTTGTAAACACCTCTACATCCGTGTTGGGAACTTAAAGCTCCACTCCAGAGACATTTTAATATTTATATTTGCATATAAAAATGTTCTGCTATAAACATATAGTCTAACACAGATTTTCCTCAAAAGTACATACATTCCAACAAAGCTATGTCTCTACACTTCTACTACACACCTCATACTATCTGATAACGTTAAACACTATGTCTGTATCTCATTATTATCTCAGCTGATGCAAAACGTAGTGTTAATTTGTAGTCAACACACAAGCAGGTTGTCAGCACTTTGTTCAACAGTGAACCCAGCCAAGCCTTCCCGGTCATAAAGCCATGCTTTGCTGTTAATACTCCAGCAGCATTAAGTCTCTGACAATCTCATAACGTTTGACAGTATGTCAGTATCTCTTTATTTTTGCTTCTTGATTGATGCAAACCACAATCTAGGAAGAGATAATCGAGAGATTGGTGTTTTTAGTAGGGGCTAAGTTAACTATTAGCACAAGGCTAACTGTTAGCTACAGCAGTGAGACAAATGTAGTTTAGTTATTAAACACTTTGCACGTTTCATACCAAGTCATAAAATTTGATAGGATGTCATTATCTCTTCACTTTCTCAGCTTGATCCAAAAGTTTATCTAGTAATGTTAATATGTTTTATGAGCAGCCGGCTAACTGCCGCATTCAAGCTGCTATCTGAAGCCAAAACCGTAGCTAACCATCTGTTAATAATGGTACTTGTCTCACACATCACAGTGTTAGTTAAATAGTGTAAAGAAGTGCCAGGGTCTAGTTTACATCAAAATGCTGTGCACAGCAGCTTTCGTGCTATCAATAGATATAGGTTTTGCTTCCTGGTGGTGAAAAGTTAGGTCTGACCAAAGGATTCAGGTTTCTCACAAACTCCGGAAAACCTGTAAACCAAGTTTAGCTGTCCAAACTTGTGGTGTCACAAATCCAGTTTGCTGGTGCCTCTGCCAAACTCAGATTTTTGGGAGTAAACAGATATCTGCCCCCTTCAGCAGAGGAATATGAAAACAGCCTGTTAGTAACAAACTATACACCTATAAGTCAGTATAGTGGAGGGAATCGGGCTAATAGTTATGGGGGTGTAAAAATAAAGACATTTTTGACTGGAGTGAGTCTTTAAGTTTAACTGGAGGGTGAAACTCAAGGTTGATATTTCTTGTCCTATACACACACACACACACACACACACACACACACATATACAAAAACACTTACATTTATGAATCTTTTAGGTCCTTAGTGTGGTTACACAGAGGAACAGTCTGTCCTAAAAAAAAAAAAAAAAGAAAAACTTCATTAACAAACAACTTGTACTGGCTAATATCACATTTCAGAAACTTCCATGTCATTTTTTTTTTATAGCACTGCACATACACCTCGTGTCCATATCTATACTGGGCATGTGTTCACTTGTGCCTGGGAGCAGCCTACAGAACTACCTTGGAGAAGGGAAAACTATGGTTCAAAACTCTGACAAACAGTATACAATGAGGGAATTACTGGCTACACGTAAAATACTTGAGGGAATTACTGGCTACACATAAAATACATGTATAGCCTATGCACAGTTTATCCAACCCCTGGTAAAACACCAAATAAAAACTACACACACCTTAAAATGAAATGAACTGTCTGTTCAGTGGGATAGATGTAACAGACATTCTTCTGTTTATAATAAACTACCTGTTACACCTGTTTACATTTGGATAACTACAAATACTACACTTCATTTTTAGGTAGAGATTTAATTAAAAAAACTAAACTAAACAGTCTATCCTGTACTCTGGAGCACTTAATTTTAAGATTTGAGTGTAAAATGGAAATGTAAAACTTTTTATCACAATCTAATTTTTCATTTTAAAAAAAGTGTCAACAACAGTCTAGTTTACATGTTATGGTTCACCTAACAACTTTTTTGTACATAAGCTTCCAATCTTAACTGTGTACCAGCAGAAATGTATAAAGCTTTACAGTCATACCCTGAGAGATTTGCCATAAAATACAAAGTATCTGCTCAGAATGCATCTTATTTATCAGTAGACCAGCCATTATTTGAGGCAGTGGTAAATATTTATGAAATAGAGAAAAGCTTAGAACATCAACTCCATGGTTTTTAGGACAAAACACTAATTAGCTACCATTATGGACAAAACAAATCTTAACCTCGGGCTACCAACTGTGTTCTGCATGCTCACTCATTCTACAACTGTCCTGAATGCCATTTTTTGGGCTCCAGGGCGTCGATATTAACAGTCAGTGAACACTTATGTCTCCATTCCCAGCTGAGATAGTGCTGCAACACATTGCTTGCTTCTAAGTGATAGCTTTCTATCATTCAGACATAGGGAACTTTTACCATTACACAACTCAGGGGTTCATTCAGTAGGGCCAGGAATCAGCAAGTATCTGGTGACACGATACAAGGGTTGATATATTGTGATACTGTAAACTAGGCTATATATTTTGCGATTTTTAAAAAATCTAATTTTAGAAAAAATGTCATAAAATAAGCCACACATCACTACATTGCATAAAAAGTCATTTTTTTACAGGTGATTTTATGTATACAGGTTTGTCAGGAAAACTGGAACAGAAACGCATTCACCTCAGCATGTCTCCAATGCACTTAGACAATCTGTACTATAACATTTGTTTATCAATGGTCCAATGAGTAATTCAGTTTTCTCACTGAACCCAGTCACATCTACAATACAATCCATGTCCAAACGGCTGCAGACTGTGTCTATAACCTTATCAAAGATTATATAACACAAAGAATGTCCCCTTAAAACTTCAATTTTTCACCATGGTGTCAACGCCGTCAGTTCTACATTATTAGAGCAGCAGTTTTTGTCACAATGCCAGCATCGAGGCAGAGTGCTTTTTACGCAATACTGTCACCCCTCTGACTCAAGGATCATTTCCTTATTCCAGTGTACTCAACCTCCTCAGGTTATATGGGCCTTGAAATAGTTACACACTTTGTATTTATAGCCAAAGCCAAGATTATATCTGCCACTGGCACACATACACCCCCTTTCCCCAGCACACAAATCAGCAGCAGTGTAAAAAGCCTTAGTCATGATGAATCAGCGTGTTTTTTTCCCTTTTATCTGAAAAGGAAATCGTGCGGCAGAAATGGTTGTAATCACCACTGTTACCATGACTATATCAACACATAAACAAAAGGAAACGAGAAGATAAAGGAGTTTAACTGAGTGAGGGTTTCCATTTGTCAGAAAAGATCCTGTTATAGAAAAACATCGACTAACATAAATGGTGGGTTCAAACACAGTACACTGGAGTCTTGGAGCTTAGAGAACGGTGGCATCATAAGTTATAGAAAGGAAAGACTATAGAGAAGTGACAAGCAGCAGCTCAAAGGCTCATCCACAGACAGAAAGACCAGCAGACTAAGTGGGGCTGGCTGGGAGATGAAATGCTGAGTAAACAATCTCAGGGCTAAAAGGGTGTCTCAGAATATCAACCTACATTGCCTCGGAGGCTTTACAGATTTCACTAGAGAACACACAAATAAAAACCTTTAAGTTATTGGAGCAATGCTTTGCCCTTAAGCTCAGAGAGGTGGTCTGATTGTAAAACACCTACTGTGCTAGTAACACACACAGTCAGCCCCAAACAGGTTAGTCTGCAGAATCTATGAAAACAATTTGTACAAATCAAGGGTACACTGTGTAGCACTCCAAAATGACCAGGTGTGACCCAGACGCCCTCATTTTTGCAGGAATCTGTGTTTGAATAGGGGCATGTGAGCTAACACAATGTTACCAGACACCATATTCACACACTGCTCAGTTATTCTAGCTGATCTGATAAGCAGCACCATGGAGATCCAACCATCAGCACCACCGCTGTGAAACAGGTTCATTCAACTGTTGCATAAGCCTCTGCATGACCTGCTAAGGAGTGGGGGAGAACATCGGCTAAGGTTTGTAGAAGATGCTGGCTATAATATCACCTACATTAGGGTGCAGTCACTCTGAGTATACCGCATAATCTGGACCCACTGTATGGAATACAACTTTGTGCATACATGCTTACTGATTGTCCTAAGTGGAAAAATATGAGTCCTCGCTTTTTTTTTTTTTTTAAGTTCAGGGCCTGCTACAGATTTCAAAACACTTAAAGTCTGTACACATTGTACATGACTATCTCTAAGTGCTACTGTAATGTACACACCGACTCATAAGCTTTTTGCCTTGCTTATGCTTTCGGTTACCTTTATTATATACAGCTCAATGGCCTGCAGGGTGAGTTACCAGTCTGTACCTGCCACATAGTCACAATGTTGTCTGTGGTAGAAACACGACGACACAAAAAGCTCCAGTTGTGGCAGGTTTCACTCAACTCAGCTCAGCTGGATCACTGTAAGTATGGAACACCCTAATTTAAATGTATCCATCAAGCCAGTAAAGGGGGAGGAACATGCCTATTATTTAAAGCTGTATTTTGGTCCACCCTTTATAGGCAGAACCAACACACTGAACTAGTCAGCACTCAGAGAACGCGAAACTCCATCAAAGTAGCTCAGCTTTCCCATAATGCCATTACACCTAAAAGTAATATTGCCATGATAGTGTGCCCATCACACTGACATCATCATTAGTTTTAATGTTATTTGAAAAAAATTCATTCATGGTAGTCTTCTTCAGGATCTATGATCCATCTCTAACTTTTAAAGGAATCAGTTGTTCTGTGAGACATACCCTATCTCCAAAAAAAAAAACTAAAAACAAATCCATTCATTACTTTTTGAGTTATGTTGTGAGCAAACAAACCAGCAAACACAGAAAAAAACATTAACATTACCTCTGCCTTCAAATTCATTTACCTAAGAAGGGAGTCAAAGTTTTTTTTGTCAGTGTGCTTACCTCCACCAAGGGGTGAGCCCATTTCCCCATAATGCCATATAAGCAATATTCCAATGAATGTTTGACCCTTATGATTGCTTGATCATGAAAACCTACTGCTGGCATTTGGAATGACTCCGTTATCATTATTAGTGTGACAATTATTCAAGAAAAACAGACATGACAGACATCCGCTCGTTGGTTTAGGGGTAAAAAGGGGGACTTCAGAAGGTGGACCACAGACAAAGTGGTGAAGGCGTCACATTTCTTCAAGTTTGTCTTCCGTTTGTTCAACAGATGTTAGCTAAATTGTTCATTCAGCCTCCATTACTGGCTAACTGTTGCACTATGGAGTGATCCTCGACATCCTGTGCTCTCGCTCTGCTCAGCTGTGAGCTTATCTCCTCTAAAGGCACAGAAAAATACAGCGGAATAGCCAAGTAGGATGGTCTGCATCATCCCGTGAGGTTATGCCATGTGACGGCTCAGGGAAGCACAGCTATAATGTACCACTTGAACACCAGCGTCCTCGCCGACAGACTGCTGTGCTCTGAACAAGATCAGCTGCCTGCTAATAGAGCTAGTTTAATCATATGGGAGCACTCGCATCTTTGAAAATGTCAAAACCAATTCTAAGTTGGCATTACTTGGATAGACTGACCACATATACTCAATCCAAGTGGTTACTTTCACACCTGAAAAAACCCCGGCTCAAATTCTCTGCCACCCTTCTGTCGCTGCATAGAGTGGAACTGAAAAGCTGGAGTTTGCCTCATTTCACCTTGATCAAACTTAACCAATTGTAGCATATCAGCTATCTTCAGCAACATGAACAAGCCACTTATGAATAAATTAGCTTTACACAGTATACTGACACGAGCAAATAGTAAATGCCACAAATGACTAAAATGTCCCATGCAGACTGACATAACAATGTGGACTTAACATTTCTTCACAGATGCACACAAGTCACACTGCACTAATATTCTCTATAGTGCTCAGCAGCGCAGCCATGCACGTGGGCCACATGGGGGCTACCGTCAACCTTTGCAGCACTCACAATAATGAACAATCTTATAAAGGTCCTGTATCCAAATTATGTGATGGATCAGCACCAAAGTCACATCAATTGTTCTGCGGGCCATATCATATCTCTCCAAAAAATTTCATTAAAATCTGTTCATTACCTTTTGAGTAAACAAATGCAAGCAAAATGGTAACCGCCACTCCTGGTGGAGGTAAAAACTGAAGCACCAAGGTCCAGGTTATCCAGAAGATTTGTCCTTAGTTGGAGCTTAACCAAAACTGGTAAAGGCCCATATCCTGCATAATCCACAATCCTAGTTGTTAATACAAACATTTTGTTATAAAGTCTCCATCCCAATCCAAGATAACCCTGTTGCCATCACCAGGGTTTCTCAAACTTTTAAAAAGCTCCTTTCAGAGCCACAAAAAACTGTACCACTCTTTTACTGTGCTGACTAGTATTCCTCATATCATTTAATCTTCATATGGAAAATTACTGGAGTACCCCTGTATAATCAACAATTTATAACAATTTAAACACAAAACAACATGGGATTTACAGATAAGTGTATACAAATTTCTTTCCCACCGACACGTGTCAATACTTAAAATTAAATAGCATGTGTATGATCACATTTCCAGTCATAGTTGGTGACAAGTATCAGAAGAAACATGGCCTCAGTCAGACATTTGAAGCTGAGAAGGATGTAAAGACAGTGAATGTTGAACACCAGTGATACAGCATCACTCCAGTACAGACTGTTTCTGGTGTCTGCCCAGCAGCCCCATGTTCTTCTGGTTAAATAACATTCTGCCAATACCCACACATGCCCAGACTCTAGGCTTTCATGTTTCACAACAGGAAGCTCAGCAATGTCCTTATGTCAGACAAACTGTAACAGCCTGACTCTGCCACACGATACAATTGTCCTGCGACTGCATTTAGTTTCATTCATTTCCTCAGGCTAAAGTATGTCTGCGATCACTGCATAATATTCTCCTGTACTGATCTGTGGTAAACAGAGATGAATGTTTGCATACAAATGGGATAAACATCTGCATATATTAGCTATGTGGTGTCCCTGTGCTGAGATAAGGTCACATGTCTGCAGTCCTCAACATCTGTCTCATGGCTGCAGCAGCAAGCAGGGTGAAGTGATCAGCAAAGGATTTAAACATGAACACAACCAACAGTGTCGCCCTATAAACATACATCATGGCACAACGTCACTGTAGGAAAACAGCTAAGACATTAATACTACACGTTTAAACAAAGATGTTCTGTCGGCTTAAACTGTAGGACACTTGCGCTACGAAACAGGGGCGTGTCTGTCTATTTAGGCAACGCAAAAAATACACGACAAACACAACTATTTGCATAGCATTACAATAAATACACACCTACCCAGTGCTCGGCTTTGCCAAAACATATACGAATACAGACGCGACGGCGTGATGCTGCATGTTGTGCTGTTAGCCATGTTGCTAACTGTCCTAGGCCCAATCTGGTTTTACCACGTGGTTTCTCTTGCTACTGGCGCGATGCACACCGGCTTCACGCCAGCCACACCTCAGCCGATATCAGCCACGACACATATCATTGTATGATTTATGCGAGACACGAACGCCAAACAAACGACGTGTGTTCCTAAAATCAGTAGTGGAGACAGGCGTGAAGGCGGCTGTCAATGAATGGGAATACTAACTGAAAAAACTGTCAAGCTAAAGTGGTGGCTACTGATTATTAGCTAGTTCTCAATACGTTACTCACATTCAGAAGCGAAACATGCTTGCAACGCCTTAGTTAGGTCGCTATAAACACAGTAACAACGCTGTCAACGACGTCGTGACAATGATGAGCACTAACTAGTGTGAATGAGTCAGACAACCACCTCATTTTCATTTCGCAGCCAAACTTCTAGCCCAGTTGAACACCGCCACCACTGCGACAGCCTCCGACAATGCTGATGTACATAATGGGGATGTTGTGTGGTGGGTAACGCTAATGGTTAATCCCGTCGGCTCCCTCAATAAGGACCAAATGAAGATGCCCCAGGTTTCAGGGATCAAAACATCTGTCCTGTCAAATCAATCTCAGACCCGGTTTACCCTCCCCCGACAGTGTCTCATAACTCATATATGTCACAACTGCCACTAAACATCTGACACGCACACTGGCACATATTTTTGGTTGACCAAGTAACTACGAGACCCTGCTATACGAACAGGCGTACAGTTTAGTTACACGAGCAAATATTTAAAAAAATTTCCATACCTTACCGTCTAACGCAAATGGCTTCAGGTTGCTGGTACCAACGTTACATAGCCATCACATGGTGTCAGATATCAAGTTATATGTGTGTTTGTTATTTACATCCGCAACTGTCAATAGACATCTCTTTATATTAAGATAGGTTGGCAAATACAAGTTTCACCACTTCTGCTGGGAGGCAGAAACCAGGGCAGTAGGCACAGGCGCATTGATTTAACCAACTGCTAGCCTACTGAGTAGCTGGCTAGCAAAAGGCTGGATAGCTAGCAACATAAATTACTCCAACCGGCGAAAACAATAACACTGTGATAAGACAGTTTATATATCGCTTATCATATATAACACTACATAAATGTAATATTTCTAATCGTTAATTTAGTAATGGCTCATATTGACAGTATATATCGTAACGTTAGCTTGCTAGCTGGGCTTGCTGAAGTGAAGAAAGAACACCCACGTCGTTTTAGCATGGAATGCTAGCGGCCAGTTAGCTAGCTAATCCCTGAAAACTCAGAAGGAACACCAGTCAGCAGAAACCACTGAAGAAAGTCACCACAGCTACACAAATCTCCAAACTAAAATGTGAACCGTAGATCTGAATGTCCCTCCAAATTCCCACTGTAACAGCGACTTGACAATTATGGGAAAAATAAAACATATTAAGAAAGAATTTAGCTTGGGACGGCAGCGTTACCTTTTTCTCCTTGAGTCCGCGGAGCCGGACGGACGGAAAATCTTCCCGGAAGCCGGTAGCTAGGTAATTCCGGCAAAAACCCATCACATGAAACTTTCCCAGTGATCACGCTCTGGACTGTTGCCTTCAACTGTAAATAATATATTGTTTCCCTGGTTATCTTTAATGTGCTTACATGTAAACAACACGCTTGGCGACATTCCGTGATAGTAAAGTTATTTACTGCATAAGGAACGTGTAGTTTCACTAAAGTTTATTTTAGCCATTATCCCTAAGTTTATTTCTAACAAACTCTAAATGCATTATAATGACTACTGCTATATTATAATTTGGCTAAAGGAAAAATACCTAGCAGGCACTATTTATGAGACAGTCCACTGTGTTATATTGTATGACTTAAAGCGCAATGGCCACACAGCCAGTTCGGGATGTTTAACATTTAAATGGAAAATACAAACATACAATTCAGTAAAAACAAACAATTAAATAATTCATTTACATTTTGCAAACGCCAATAGGTGTAAAGAACTCACCAACAAATGACCAAAAACCCAGTGTGCTCTCATGCACTTAAAACCAGGCCCAAAGGGGTGAAGTCAGGAAAAAAAATAAAAACATAAAGGAGATTGCCTTATTTATCTGATTGCAAATATTTGATTCTTAAAATTATTTTACATGCATTTATGAGTAGATGAGTTTGCCACTAGTGTAATTGTAGTGGTGTACTTATTATCCATGGGAAGTTCAGTCATTACAATTTAACTTATTTAATCTAACAGGTAGTGTAGCAAAATTCTCAGGAAGTTTCCCAAATAAGAAAAGGTGGCTAGTCTAGGTAGCTCCCCCTTGTGGATAACCTGCAGACTGCTTTATTTTAATGATGGCACTTAGTTATGATTTTCTAAAACTCCTAAGACATTCCCTGCCATATGTTTTACCCAAAATCAACACAACACACAGCCATCACACTTCCACCATGTGTAGCTGAGTTTTTATTTTTGATTCAACCTTTTACAGTACTGTAACAAAACAAAACAAGAAAACTGCAATGAATACATACTTTTAAACACTCTACTTACAAAATCTGACTGAGGATGTAAGAAGTGTGGGAAAAACACATTTGAAGCACTGATGTTTACTGAGCAGTTGCTGATGACTGAAACATAAGAGTGGTGAACAGTTCCCACTTGTGAAATGGCCCTGGATCAGCTGGTTCGGTGCACGTGGGAGAGGTGGATCAAAATTAGAGCAATGCAAGGTGGATGAGGTCCCAGTTGAGCCCTCCCCCTGTGTCATACCAGTTCAGTAAACCAGATCCCAACTATCCATTTTTAATGACTGTTGGAGCTGGGCCATAGATGACAGTGAGAAGATACAGCAAGGAAGAAATATAGGCCTGCCTCACTCAACTCAGCCACGCAACTAAATATAACAACTGCGAGGGGCCATAGAGATCGAGACCCTTATAAACAGAGGGAGAAACCAGTGAGAATGTTTTTTTTGGGTGCAGTCTAGGTTTCATAGCTGGGGTTCTTGCGGAGGATAACAAAACCTTCCAGGATTGGGGTGACAGGGAGATGCTCCTCTGTGGCCAGCTCAGCCCTCTCTCCATGAGCCAGCAGCACTGGTGTGGTGTGAGTCTGAAAACCTGTGATGGCCTTTGGCTTGCCCGCCTGGCCCACGACATCCACAGCCTAAACACATATCACACAAACAAACATGTGAGGTAAAGAGCCATTTTTCCAGAATGTTCCTAACTGTAACCATGGAAATTTCATGTTAACTGTCTATACTGGTTTTCAAAGGCCAGACAAACTTTGTAATGCACAAAAACGGCACAATTTCCACTAACATTCTAGGTTCTCTATTTCCCAGAGGGATTATGCAAGGCATTACCTGTCCAACTCTGACAGATATGGGCAGTGGTCGCAGTTCCTCATCGAACGTGACCAGCATACGTGGCTGCATGGCTGCTACCAGGCCATAGAGAATGTAGTGAGATTTCCCCAGGATTACTGTAGTGCACATAGTGAACAACAGGAGGAATATCAGCACAGGAAAGACATTACTGAATTCAACCTTCAATTCACAAAACAATAATGGACCATGTTAAGTGGCAGCAGGAGGAAAATAAACTGACTGTTCTTGACATCGAGGAAAGAAACAAGCACTGTGAGCAGTCCGGCCACAGCGACCTGACTCATCAGCTGCCTGTCGCTATGGTAGGGACAGAGCGTCAGTGTGCCTTTGCCCAGGTGAGTCAGACCCTGTGGAGGCACAACCAGCAGAGTCAACAGTCACTCATACATACACACATTTTTCCTTAAGTTCAATTGTGTCTGGTACAGAGTGTCTTTTGTGTTGCCACCCACCTGAGCCAGTCGAACCATGAAGAGATTGTTGGGGTCTTTGGCGTGATACTGTGCCAGCTGCCGCAGCATAGCAGCCAGACGGGCGTTATTTGTGCCTGGGTACATGGGAAAACGGAGAGCTTGTTAAATATGTTAAGGATGTTGACACTAGAGGCACTTCAAGAGAAGACGGCATTGTGGAGCATTGAAAACAACAAATGCGTAACTTGCACCATCAAGTATGCAACCCTTTTCCAGAGAAAAACATCAGTGAGGTCATAATATAGGAAATTCATGCATCTTTATGAGGACAGAGGCATTAGTCAACTTAAAGCTACAGTATGTAACTTTCTTTCCAATAGTTTTGTTGTAGAAATCTGCTCCAAGACTTGTCTTGTTAATGTGGAGAGGTGCTGTCGAAGCCTTCAGTGACCCTGACTCACTGAACAGCACTGGCAGTAGTGCAGATATTAGCTTCTAAATGTTTTTGAGTGGGATTGATCTCTCCAATCACAGATTTTTTGTCGTTTGTGGTTGATCAGCAAGTTTTGTTGCACTCATTTCTGGTATTTTCATAATGACAAATATCTGAAGAGCATGGCAGAGCGCTGAGATTGTTTAGAGCATAGCGGAGCAGGGAGAGGGGGCACTGGGCAAAGCAGAGTGGACTGATTTAGAGTTTCACGCTAGTTTTAAAAGCTTTAATTTTGTTGCATTTCAAACCTTTAGCATATCAATCATCTGTAAAATAAATAATAATAGAAGGAAACTCTGCTACTGTAGCAGCATAAACAAACTTTAACTCAGACAACGTTAAAAAATTGTGCATGTTATAATAAGTGTAGTGCTGTTACAGCATCTTATTTGTGTGTGCTCAAAATACTCAACCATGTTTTTACCCCATTTTGTTTTTAGGACATTAAATTAGTGGGCATTATTTCATCATTACTGAATGGTGTAGAGACTTATACAGGGTTTTACTATTATTTCTGCTGTTCACACAGAGTTCACACCGCTCTATTCCTAGAACCAAACTTACCACTGCCCACCATGCCCATGGCAAAGATGGAGTTGTGAGAGACCTCTGGGTCAGCATCATGGGAAAACTTGCTGAGGGTGTCCAAGATGTTCAGACGAGGGTTGGACACTGAAATGAGCGCCAGGGCTAGAGGCACCGCTCGCCTTAGGGTGGGCTCCCCATAACGCAGCTGATGAACACAGAGGGAAGAAGAGTTAAAGACAGTGCAAATAGATCACTAGATTGCAAATGCAAGAGAGGAACAAAAATGTGGCTCTCATTATTTTAACTGCCTTCCTAAGCTGTCACATGCCAGTATACACAGTGGACATGACAAAAATGAAGTCTTTAGGCTAGATCTTAGTCTATTTTACTAGCAATGACAGATCAAAGTAAAGACTAAAGAGGCAGATGTATGGAGAAGGATAAAAGGAGAAATTATGTCATGCAACTCAAAAGAAAGAAAAAAAAAAAGAACAAATGGTGAGGCCTGGAAATATGAAAGTACCATTTAATCAAGATACCAGACAAAGAAGCAGGCTGAACAGATTAAGAGGAAGGAAATGTGATGCAGAGCTAAACAATAAGAAATGAGAGGTGGTAAGACAAGGAACATGTTCGGTACATGTAAACAAAAACAAAACTAGAAGGGAAAACTGACACTAAGCAGTACTACTAACCAGATGCCCAAATGTTCGCAGTGCCATTTCAGAGCCAATCTCCTCCCCCATGGCAATCAAGGCAATACCAAGAACAGCTGCACCCTTTAATAAAAATAAAACATAACATTAAGCTTTCTTCTGTATTCCTCAGTACAAAACTGGACAAACATCCATACAGCTGGTCTTACCGTTAATTATTAACGTAAGAGGACAATCCTGGCAGTAAATTAGCCCTTACCTGGTGGGAGCCCATGTCAGCAGCAGTCTCCTTTTTGTCTTTGTCCTTCTTATCCTTCTTGTCTTTGTCTTCCTCTTTTTCTTTCTCCTTGGCTTCATAGTGCTCACTGCAGATATGAAGAAGCTGCTGAACTTTCAGCACATTACCAGAACCTGGGAGGGATGGGGAAACAAGTTATTTCAGAGATTTAAACAGCAGCTGTAGCACTGTAGGTACACCAGTATAACAATGGCTTATTGAGGGTATGGAAAGAGGCTGACTGATGGATATCTGCAAATCACTTTAGAATGGCTGAAAGACAGTATCGTGAGACTGACCTGCATATGCACAGATATCCACTAGTGTATTGGCAAAGCTGCGGAAAGGTTCAGGTACAACCTGTAGTGCTGCCAGGGTCGTCTCAATTGCTTCTCCTTTACCTATGGACAGCGAAACAACAAATGCAATAGTTACAGCAGCTATAGCAGGACAGAAAGGATGGAAATATATAAAGGCAATGATTTAACTTTGGTAATTTACAAAAAGGTGGTTCACATATCATGCATTACTTATTTCACTTGCTCTTCTGAACGGCCTGTAGCTGTCATTATAGTAATTAATTCTGAAGCTTGTGTCGACCCATGTTTACCCAGGTGGTTGAGTCCCAAGCCTAGAGGCAGCCAGCGGGCATATGTGTCCTTCAGCTCCTGTTCGTTCTTCTCCATGATGGTCTGGACAATGGTGGAGGTCACGTCGCCGTTACAAGATCCTACTGCGATCATACCACATGCCAGCGCTGTCACTCCAACCACCTGGAATTGAGATACTAACAGTCAGATGCTTCTAACATGACTATAAATG